TTTTTTTTGGGTACTAAGGAAATGTTGTGGAGAAATTGTAAATAAAAAACCATTTCCTCGACAGCAGCACCTTAGTTAGCTTGAATAAACAAATATGTTCTATGTACTTTTGGTTTGCCCTAAGCCGGAAAGATATTACTCATACATCATGTGTGACAGGGGAAATTTTTAATCAAGCCTTATCGACATGGCCAGTCCTCTTAGGAATTTTCATACTTGGCTGGCAGTTATTCTTTTAGGTACCTTTTAATGTCTGCCCTTTTGTGGCTTGTAATAAAATCAGCACGAAATTGCCAAATTATTTAGATTTGGCATCAAAAGAGGCGAACCTTGGGTGCAGCCATATTGTCAAATGAGCAATAAAAAGTGTCTTTTATGACCCATATGACAGACGCTCTTTTCGGTTACCCCATAGATATTTGCATAACTCAGGTAGACAAGTGGTGGAAAACGGGAATTTCGGTCGCAGATCAGGTAAACCTGGTTTTGTAAATTGCTTTTTTATTGAAATAAACAAAAGTCTGAAGACAACTTAAAGCTGAGATGTTCACCTTCAATTTTCGTGGAAAGGAGAACATACTTTTCCAAAGATTACGTGGAGATTTCCTCACATTTGGTTGTATGTGCAGTACATATCTAAGCTGACATAAATTTCGGGAGAATGGAATTATTTTGTTACGCCGTTTTGAGATGACGCCAAAGAAGTTGCCGCATTCCGCTGCCAGCTGATAAATAAATATGACAACAAAATGTTCGCACAAGATAAATGTGTAAGCAAGATGACAACAAACTAAGGTAAGTTGGAGCTTTACAGTGCGTTTCATATACGTATAGCCAGAAAAACAAATAAAATTGCATATGTTTTTGACACCTCAATTATATTCTCCGCACTACCTGAACGAATTAAATACTGTTTTAAAATTTGTATTTATTGTGACTTAAATAATGTGTTTTATTGTGATATTAAATGGTTGTAAGGTTATGACTGGTGTTTTACCCAAGCCAAGAAGGCAAAACACTCGAAATCGCTTTTTAAACTTGGCATATTTACATATATAGAAACGACTGCATTTTGCCCCCTGACACCAAAACATAAACAACAAGCTCGACGTGGGACAGGTAAAAAACTGGACTACTTCAGTATGTGTGACTGTGTTTTGTATAAGTGCAATTCGTATTTGATATTTTTTGTTGTACATGCATATATACATAATTATAATGCCACAATACGAGATGTCTAAGTACGTGCAAAGCTCTTTAAATCCCCAATATTCGAGGGCAATCACCTAAAAGGGAAGGTTGAAACTTTTTATACCTAAATTTTGCATTTAAAATCAAATAAACATCTTTCTTAGATAATAAATCCCATTTTAATCTAAGAAAAGATAGAATTAATTTTGTGAGATAGCTGGTTTTACAAAATGTTTTTATTAAAACAAAAATGTTTTTATTAAAACAAAAATGCTAGAAATTTTATAAAAAAATGTACGCTTTATGTGAACATTTTATGTTAGTTCATGTCCGCTTTAAATATTATTCATTGCCTTTGACCGATTTATTAGCTTCCAATGACAATGCAATTAAAGCCCCATACTGCTGAAAAAATCGAATATACCCGATGCTCCATGACAACCACAAACACCAGGGTATTTTTGCTCGCAACAACAATCAAGTGCAATCAAAATAGAAAAGCCGCACAATTTTCCTGGCATGCGGCACATGATGCAATATTTCCATAATTTTCCTCCTCTGACCCAACAGCACGTTTTTCATCTCGTTTTGCATTGTTGTTGTAAATGTTTTACATGCCAAATTATGCAAAAATACAATACACCATACATATTCAAATATTTCCTCGGAGTTCCACCAAATACACACGGACACTGATCCGCAAGTCCCCCCTATTTTGCATCGATTTGGAATATTTGAGTTTTGGAATTTGCCTGTCAAAGCCCCAATAATGACATGTCACACTGTGTTTCTTTTTCGCCCTGTCTCTCGATTTATTTGTGCTGTTATTGTGTAGAGTTTTCACTGGTTTTCAGTTGATGCTGCTTTGCATGGGGCACAAGGTCAACAATGTTGCACACAGTTGATGCGGATTTCATGGGAATTAAGTTTGATTTGATAAAGGTCATGTTTTCTGTGTGCGTCTGTTTATTCGTGATGATCTGATAACGGAATTTGCAATTATGACAAAACGTAAATGGATTAAAGTGTTTTTTGAGTGATGGAAATGGGAAAATGGCGGCGGGAAAAACGAATAAATTGATTTTGGCATTGATAGATTTTCCGACGTCTGTTTTTGTTTCCTGTTTAAATTGGTTTGCAAAGTTGGTTGAAAGCTTAATGCACATATTTACCATAGTATTGCGATTGTATGTTGGAAATGGAAATAATTTCGATGGTATTTGCAAGTGGAATAAAAAAATTTTAAATATGAACGCACAATTCGGTTTTTTTAAAGGTTTATGGTATGGTAAGGTGTTAAAATTATTATTTAAAAACAAAAAATAATGAATTTAATAAATTAAAAACACTTAGCTTATTGATAAAAAATAAATGTATATTGGTGTTCAAAATAAATACATTTCGACATATGCAATTACCTTACCCAGGCAATAAGCCAAACTTATTTGCTTGCTTAAATTCGCTCTCTATACCCTTGTGGTCATCTCAAACTGCAAGCTTTCAGTTCGATTCCTGATTATTATTTCGCAAATAAGTAGGCAGTGGAACAGTTGGCATATGCAGAATAGTTGTGGGCGCTCAAACCACAGGATAGCACCTGTCCCACCGATCCGACCGACAATTCGTTCAACTGTCGACCATTTTGATGGGCCTTCGGTTACCAGGGTCTTTTGTCCCGGATCCCGTTCGCTTTGGCTGGCCAAAGACCATTAAAAATATTTTTTCTGCCCATTCAGCATTCAATAGAAATTTACATCACGTCGGAAATTTTTACATACGCATGTGTGTATGTCCTCGGCTAAAAGGACATTTTGGGATGGCCAAAGGGGGAGGATGGGATTGGGGCTTTATGGTGGCGAGTGTCGCGTTGAGCATACTAACACTTTTTTGTATGTTTGCTTAGCTTAGGTTTTCACCTGGCAAAAAACCAGCAGGGGTGGGGCATTGGGTTGTGGCAGCCTCAGCGTAACAATAATAAAAGACAGGCGGGGGGTAAAAAAAAAGATTCCGTCCTGTTGCAGGAGCTGTGGCAGGAAACTATATTGCCACATAGGCAATTTCATTGTGCGATATACATATATTCCGACAGATATGCCCGAGACCCTTGGCAAATTGGTTTACCCAGTTTACCCTTTTCACCAGACTTTAGTTGGCCTCCCACTATGTAGTTCAATATAAATTGTAGCTAAGCAAGAAAGTTCAGGGGAAATCTGGCCTTCGAAAAAATTAAGTAAAAGCAAAGGTAAATTTAAAACAAAAAAAATTAATTTTAAAATCAAAAAGAAGTTGTTCTTTTTCTTATAATTTATTTTAACTTTTCCTCTCAATTAGTTTATTTTTGTGGTTTCTTCGAAGGCAGGTAGGGCTAAGGGGGCGTGACCCTTGGGTAAATTGCACAATTTGCTAATTAGAGCAATAAAAGTTTTCTTGTTGGGAAGCCAAAAACAGCTTCAAAAGCACAAAATTAATAAATTATAAATGAAAGAGAATCTCAGAGAAAGTTGACTCTTTCTATATCTCTTGTTTACACAGCGCACTGTATTCCTTTTTCCTTTCCTTTTATTTTATTTTTTTTTTTGGTTGCGGGTGCATAATTTACAAGTTGAGTTCGCTGCCAATATTTCAATTACTCTACGGAATTCTCAGCTTTTCTCTTTTGCCCTCACTATACCAGAAGCAATTTCAATTGAGCTTAGTGCTTGCGGAGTACTCGTTTCTGTAGGCGGTTTTGTCTCAAGGCGAAATTAGTGGCCACAACTGCGGCAGATTACAGGCCAGGCCAAGAGCGAACTTCAAACAATTATTTTGCCAGCTGGGGCGGGGAAGCTGGCTTTTAATTTGCTTAGCCCCGGCCCATGAATAATGCAATACGAGAAAGAAACGAGACCGAGATGAATTTTTGTATAATTGCAGGGCGCACAAAATTTCGCTTAGAATCTCCCTGGGCCAAATAATTGCCGAGTGGAAGGGGAACAACGAAAAGTTTAAAGTAAATTATATATTTCCTTCTTTTTTGTTGTAAAACGTTAGTTTTATCTGCTTCATAAGACAAATTTTCACCTGTTATCATATTATCATGAATAGAATTACCAAAGACGAGAAATCTTTATTACAAAAAAGTTTGGGTTCCGGTTTTTGCACAACCAATTGAAATCAATGAAATTTGTATACTATTTTATTACATCAACATCCGACCCTTTTCATTAAAAAACGTAAGGCATTTTTAATATTGATAAACAAAATAATTCACATAGGACAAAAATAAATTCTTTTTTGGCAGGTTTTTTTTTTAAATATAGTTTCATGACGGCAATGCTTACTATTTTAACATTATATATATCTACTCACAAATTAAATAAGGCCGTTTAAACATCCGCCTCAATAATAATCCCCATTTCGAGGATAAACATTCGACTCCTGTTTGGAGGCGCCGTTGCATCGATTAATTATGGCTGTCAGCATGTAAATTGTGCTAAATTATTATTATCAATGTTGTTGCCCGATGACAAACATTCAATATCGCAAAATGTGTCAGGCTCGACTGACAACGCGGATACAGATACACAGGCCGACACGTTAACGCGACCCGTTGAAGCGGAGCGACCAAATTGCAATTGTGATATTGACAATAATGCAATCAAATAATCAATCAATTAATGTCTGCTTAAATTAATGTCGAATATTATGTGCTATCGTCAATACCATCATTAGCACTAAATTCAATTATGTAGCAGGCATCCTGTTGCCCGCCCTGATGATTCATCATTGTTAGGCGACTTTTTCGTGCGTTGAACATCCCAATCCCAGGAGCCCTTGGCCCAAACATCACTCTCGACCTTCTGGAATGTTTCAAAAATTTGTGGCTCAAATTTGGAGTCCCCGAAAAATATTCCATGGCTGGAGCACCTGGCGTTAGAGAAAAGCTGAATCTAATTGTTGGCGGCGACGTCTGCGAGGTTTACCGCGATGGCTTCAATTGCGGATCATTTGGCTTTTGGTCCGGACTCATTGGATTAGCCGTCTTTGTGCTTTTTCTGGCCTATTTTCATTTGAACCGGGAGCGAATAAGTCCGAGGGAATGAGCCCTTTGAACTGGCGGCAAAACTGTTTCCATGATTGTGATAAATAAAAAGTCATTTTGAGCCACTGTAAAAAGGCCTTGTAATTTCAAATCTAACGTTATGAATAGCAGTGCTTCATATCTTTTTCGCTTTTGTTGTGCATCTTAGAAAAAACAAAATTTTTTATAAATGCTTAGTAAAATTATTATAGTTTAAATTTTTAAAATGATTTAAACCCAATTCCTTATTACATTTTTTAAATGAATGGTATGGAATTCGCTTTAATAAAAGTAGGCTTAAGAAAATAAGTAGAACTTAACAATTAATGTACTTAAAAAAAGGAAAATAAAAAATGTATTATATATAAAGGTAATTATTAATTCAAAAGCCCATCGACTTGCCTGTCAAAAAAATAAAACCCCTTAATTCCGTCAATCCAAATTGATATTTTTTCCAGAAAGCCTCTCTTTTATGAAATTTATACTTGAATCGTGGTTGAATATGCATGTGCATATTTTTCTGCCTTCTCGTTTTTCCATATTTCCTACATATTTTCCACTACTTGATGGACCCAGAAAGTATGCTATGTAAATTTTAAATCGGTCGATACATTTGACAGTGCCATATACTCAACTTTATTTGATTTATGCATCATTCACGCACAATTTATCGTAAAAATTACGCAAAAGGTCAGCGCAAAAAAAATGAGGGAAAAACTCATGTTTTTCGAAACCATGGAGAAATGCTGCGGGGTCAAAAGCGGAAGGGGTCTTCACTGGGTAGTTTATAATGCAGTAAAATATAACTGATTTTCAATGTTGTTTACTCAACTTACAAACATTTTGATTTACGTGTGTGCGGCACAAATATATCAATATATATAAACTTTAAATATATATTTATACGTATATACCTTTATATTTTCACGTATATCAATAACATGAGCAACAATCCAGAGCAGCCAACAATAATAAAGAGACTGACGGGCAGGCAAGCGTAAGCCGATGTGTGTTTATATATTTACTTAACTTTTATGGACCTGGCTTTGCCTCTGTAGCAGTGTATTTGTTTTAACAAACACACACACCTGCGTCCAAAATAATGTCACCTTTCTTGCTTTAACATTTTTTGGAATGGTCAAAATTTGAAGGTAATAAAATTATAAACGTTTCTTTTTAAATTTAAATTTATTTTTAAAGAGACTAAGTGTAATATTTTATTTAACAATATTATATGAGAAAAGAACTTTAATAGTTCATATTAAAAGATTAATTGTTGTGACCTTAACTGTGAATGTAAAATAATTTACATAATTTCATGCACAACTGTACAGAGGAAACGAGAGTGACGCGGAGAGGGAAATGAGAAGCCAAAGGAGCGGTGCATAAATATTTGCATATGTCACACGCACAAAGCCAAAAAAAGGGCGGTGGGCGGTGATTCGAAAGGAGATTGAGTGATGTCCGCCAGAAACGTAATTTTCCACACTTTTTTGATGTTATTTTTTCCAGCGATGCGAAAGGACTCAAAAACGGCACTCGCTTTTTGATTGATCAACAAATTACAGTATTTAAATTAATTTCGTCATTGATATGGCAATTTAAGTAAACAAATTAATTATTAAATAGTACACTGCGAACGTTTGGAATCCCATCCGCAGTATTTTTTTCTTAAAGACTTTCATTTTTTCTTAGGGCGTTTGCCAGTTGATCAAGCTCCCCATCCTTTTCTCCTTGTCTTTGGTTATTTACCTTGCACTTGCAGTGCACTACGACCACTCGTCGATTGGCAATATTTCTTGTTATTTTATTGCTCCTTTTTACCTTGTTCGTTTCAACTTTCATACGCACTCGATATTCAGGCAATCCACTGAAAGTGCCATCATCATTCGTTCCATATGCAAAAGCCAAATAACATTCTCGCAATTTCGCCATCTCCCTCTATTATTTCTGCCTCTGGTCCCCTTTGCTCCTTACCAGCTTTTGTTAAAGGCTTGTGGTCGCCTCCTGCTGTTGTAGCTCCGGTCGCTGTCAAGTTGCCAGGATACTTGAGACTTGAGAAGCCGCAGGACATGGTCCGGTCCTTTAAAGTCACCTACACTAAGAAAAGGTTTTTTACTCTTATTTATTATCTCATTAAATAAGTAATTAGCTTTGTAAACTAATTCCCAAACGAAAAACTAAAAAATGTTTCGCAACCTTGTTATTTATTTTAAATCCTTTAACAGTTGGTACAATTTGATAGATTAAACTTAAAATTTTGGAAATTATATTAAGACCGAGAATGCTTAAAATTATATCAGATTAAAAGCTAGACTTTTGCAAATTACATAGTGTCTTATAAAGACCGACCAAACGATATATTTTTTTTTGAATTGGTAAATTCTGTCACCGTTAAATCAAGTTAACATTCTAACGTGTTCATTTAAATATACAAAAATTAAATTGTTATGTATAAAAGATGTTATATAATTCAAGAACCATAGAATATTTATCACATTGAGCATAGCTTTTCCTAAGTGTAACTCTTCTGCTATCCTTGCTAATGAAACAAAAACAGACAAGTTAATGTACAGTTGATGTACCATCTAATGGTTCTCATTGCCACGCCCCCATTGCGATTTTGCCGCCCACCGAGATTTGCATAAAAAGCTGAAGAGCTGACCGTGCTAATTGAGTGAGTAAGCGGTTGGTTGCCGGTCTAAAACTTTTCGACATTCTAATGCCATTGTCAAGCAGCTTCGCTTCTGCTCAAACTATTTAACATTTCCGTTTCCCCGGTCCCCAATTGCGTCCCCTCGGATTCACAGTCACCAGTCACCCACTTACCTTGCTGGTAGTGCGCCAGTGCTCATGAATATGCCTTTTATAAATAATTCAAGCGCATTCAGTGATAGCTCGGCCTAAGCCCTTGCGCAGAGTCCCAGTTTCATTTGTGGAGCAAAATTAACAGAGCGCATTGAGTGGCCATTTCAACCGATTTTGGAGACAAAGGACCAGCCCGAAAGCAAGCCAAATGTCACAGGAGGAGCCTGCCGGAGATTCGGAGGAGGAAGCCCAAGAAATTGACGGAAGTCAAGACCTCTATTTCCAAATGCAAAACTAACAAGGGTGGATCAACGAGTTTGGTAACAAAAACTCATTAAATTAAGGAAATCAATTTAAAAACGTAAACACATTGTTGATATTGAAATGGCGATGTGCCTTTGCCAAAGTCATATTTTTTGAGCCATTCAAAATCAGCCTGTACATGAACATGTGCAATTATTCAAGCATTATTTATCCCAATGGCAGCTGTTGGTATCCTCTACGCCCTTCTGACAAGCTGATTTTTGCCATTTAAAACCCGGCAGGACTTTTGCTTGAACTTCCTTTTTGGTTGGGCTCACAAAAGTGTTGCCTACATTTCAGGGCATTCACAAATTACCAGCTCAAAGAGCATTAACAACAACTACAGCAACAAGGACGACAAATCCACTCACTGGCTAAACAAAATAACACAATTTACAGTTAATCTAAATTGTTTTGGCTTTTTATTAGCCACACCAGCAGGAGGAAATAAGTTTTTTGTGGCTGCTGCAACTGAACTTGATAAAACTTGAGCAGAGACAGATGGAGATAGAATGGGGAGTAAGGTTGTGTAAGCCCATGATATACCAACACCAAAAGTGACTTTATTATAATTTTCAACTTTTGATTTACTACAGGGCCACCCCCCGCATTTCCGCAAAATGGCAGGCAGCGCACAAAAGCCAAACAAAATGAGGCTAATTTTTATACCCGCACACACAGACACAACAATGGAGACGCAGATAGCAAGCCGCACACAATTGCAAAAGTTTTTTAACATAAGAAAACAGAAGCACCGAAAAAAAGCACAGAACAGGCGAAGATTTCACAAAATTACAACAATAAAAGCAAGCAATAAAATTAAGCATTGTAATATGGCGACAAAAAGCCACGAAAAGCAAAACGAATTCACGGAATTAAAGTTCTTGGTTTGGGTAACGGATCTTAAATGATTTTGTATTTGTAAAAATATAGGAGGAAATAGTTATGAAATATTTTTGCAAAAATATTTAAGTTTCTATTGCAATATATGATTAATAAATTTTGACAAACAAAAATAAATTGCGAGTACCCAAACAATTTCTTAAAAAATAGATTTTAAGAACAAAATATTGAATTGATAATATTTTAATTATAATAAAATAAATTATACCTTTTAATTTTTATATTGCTTAAATAATCACCACCACAGTAAGTCCTAAAAATGTTGTATCAGTTTGAAACAAAATATTAATTCGTAGGAATCTTAATGCAATTAAATTTTGACATCAAATTTAGCAGTGAGATAATGATAACCTATTAAACACAATCTTGTAAGCCACAAAGCAATTTAATTCGATTACTGGTACAAAAGCGACCAATTCAACGGTTTTATTGCCGAATAACTTGCAGGATGGCTTTAAGGTAAACCGCATTGAGTGGTGGAGTAGTGAGAGAACCCTTTCTCTCAAAGGAGCTGGGGTTATATCCCCAGCGCCTCACCAAAATGTAGCACGTTCCATAATTGCAAATCAATGAGCTGCTGCCGAGGCATATACAATGGCATCGCTGATTATGACGATGGCATAACGATGATTACGCCAATTGTCCCTCTAAGCTCTAACCTACCGCCCCTTCCAAATGTCCACGCCTCCTCGATATATGTGTGTATAGCATTTTAATAAATTACGTGACAAACTGCAATACTCTTCCTCGCTAAGCTGTATTTGACTGGTACACGGAAAACATATATTTTTTGTTCTGAACATTCTGTGCAAAATTAAATATAAATTTTAATTTATAAAATAACATATGTAACACTTTTGGGCCAATTCGGTTCTTTACTTTACTATTTCGTAGCAAAAGCTAGGATTTTTAAGAGGATCCTTGTTCAACTGTTTTAAATGGATAACCATAAGTGCTTTACAATCATTAAATATAACCAGTAATATTCGTTTTTCGATTAGTATAAAATTAAGAACCTAAAATTAGCAGCTAAAGTTTTGGCACGGTGTATCAGCAGCAGGTGGCGCCTCCGAAATTGCTG